TTAGAGGGAAATGGGGCTAATAACAGATTATCTCCAGGGTTGGATTCATCAGCAGCCGTCGGAGGTCTTTTTGTCCTGTCTGCTCCTTTTGTGGTGTGCTGGTTAATGTGAGAAACCCAGGACTCCATCATTTGCTTTTTGGTGAACATACAAATAGGGAGGGTGGTATAAGAGAATCTCCTGAAGAGAGGATGATGCCAGTGCGGTGCTGTCCTCACTGCTGTACCAACCAGACGGAGACAGCACGCTGCGTGGAAGATGAATTTCCTCTTCATCTGAAATGAAGCTAAAAGGTCTTTGCTGAGAAGATGAGCTTCCAATTTTAGGTAGTGTGAGGTAAATAGCCTTAGTTTGAATGCAGATAAAATCAATGGTTCCATGGCAAAAGGTACAGTGAGGCCAGGTACAGTACAAGACGGAACACCAGGTGACGAGTGTCCTCAAAAGACATCAGCCTAATTCTACTGCTGGAGCTGTGAGATGAGAACTCAAACTGACGAGGACCAAATGGTTCTGTCGTTGCTGCAGGTGGTCAGGTTTTTCAAGTCCAACTTGACACGAAGAAGAGGTCGGTCATAAAGTTCCAAGATAGATAGATAGATAGATATAACTCTATTACAAATATAGTAATACAAATAAAGTTGGTGACTTACCCTCATGTAATATGCCTGTAGGACACTTTAAAAAAAGAAAATATATTTGGAGTCATCATATTCAATAGAATACTTAGCATTGAATACCATTAACTATCATTCTAAGACATAGTAAAACAGAAATTTAGCAGTTAACCGCTCTAGCACAAAACATCTGTAGCCCAATAAACCAAGGACAAATATTCAAGGCTGAATTAAAAAAAAACAGCCAAGTAACAAGAAACACTTGTGCATGGATCAGGTTGACTGATTCAACAGCAGTAGTGCAGTAGAAATATTCGACTGCTGTAAACGTGTCATCATTGAAAACAAAGCAGAACAGATAAGCAGCTCAAATGGAGTGAACAGGCTAAGGTTATTTTATGGAAATGAGGATTTTATGACAGGAAATGTAATCCACGCTCCTGCAGAATCCAGAAAATCTAAATAATTTGCAGCTTCACACGTTCAGGAAAAAGGAGACAAATATTCTCTTCTGTGTCGAACAAAGTCGAGGCACAGTGTGTCACCTTCACTGCTGTCAGAACAAAGAGTCCCTGAGTCAAATTAGATTTGTTCCTATCCATTTGTCCCTGTGTATGTGTATGCATGCGTGTGTGTGTGTGTGTGTGTGCTGGTGTTCATAATGTTGTAGGGACAAAGGTCGTTTTGTGTTATGGACAAAAAAAAAGGTTTGGATCTCATACAACTAAACTGTTTTAATACCACCTGTGTGCATGTGGATGTTCTGCTGAACGTACAATACAGCCATTCCTGCACTGGTTGTTTTTTGTTTTTTCATTATTTGCTAAGCTCCTGCCAAGCCATGTAAAGAGTAACAAGTTGTTTTGGGTTTTTTTAATCATATTTTTAAATTTCAGTTTGGTCAGCATGGTTAAGGTAAAACAGATTAAATCAATCTGTTCATAAACAGATAAACAGATTACAGGCGGTCCTTGACTTACGTCGGAGTTCTTTTCCCACACAGCAACGAAACACGATACGTAGGTACATAAGGTCCCATGTCACTCACCTGTGCTAAGACAGTAGTAACCTCATAATCTAGGACAAGATCAGAAAAGTCTGACTTATGTTTGGGAGTCATAATAAAGGGCAACATTTCAAAATAACACAGGTGAAAGATTGTAGCACAGTCTGACGTATGGCGTACAACAGGCAAACACGAAGTCGTGTGTGAGGTGTGTTTGTTCCCTGGTCCTGCTGTCTGCTCTGTGGTGCAATCAGTGTCATCACACTCACCTGTTGTATTTGTCATTAGTCTCACTCGTATCACCTGGTGCCCTTTGTATATATACCTCTGTCCCTCAATCTGTCCTTGTTGTATCGTTGTGCTGTTGTATTCTGAGTGTGTGTGGTTAGTCCTAGATGGTCATGAATCGACAGAAGTCCATGCATTGTTGTTTATGTTTTGCTGCAGTCCATGTCTGGTAGTTTTTGCATAGGCAAGTTTTGTTAAGTTGCACTTTGTTAATAAACCTGCTATATTTTTTTTTTCTAAAATCCAAGCTCCTCAATGTCAACAGATATCTGGAACCATTCTAGGAAAATACTTAGATCTAAACCAGACGGTTCTCTTTTAATGTGTGAAGAGCCTCTAAAACCATGCAGGGACATTAGTGTGAGTTATTAGCTACATTACAGCAACACATAAAGACACAATGTTGTTCTTTGTGTCCAATATAGCACAGAAGAATTTATATTTTTAGGATTGATTCTGAGAAATACTGCAGTTTCTTGTGTGTATGAACTGGAGTTTCTTTGATTGAATAGTGACGTGGTTCAACAGTTCATGGTTTATTTCACCTCTGGTTTTAGTAGAGCAGCAACAGAACAGCAAATCCAATAATACAAGAACATGTTTTGAAGCAGTGTTTTTCTTTCCCATCTTCAACATCAGTCAGTTTCAAGGTCAGTGAATTCCCAGCTGGAAAACCCGTCCTCCACAACAGCAGTTTTTTTTTTCTGTCTTCAAACCTCAACTCTCTCATTTCCGGCTGTCCTTCACTGTAGACACAGACATCACAGTGTGGGTGTCCAGGTAGGTGAGTGGTAACCCCCGCCCCTCTAACTCATCCACACCAGAGGCTTCTCAGCCAACCTTTTGTTCTCCATACTGGCCACAAACGGTGCAATTAAATCCTCCCCGGCGCGGTGAGTGTGGATTTGTGGAGGTAATCCCTCTGCTTCCGTCTCTCTCTCTCTTAGTGGAGAGTCATCAAATCTGCATGTGATGACTCACCGAACACTGCAGACAAGAACCGGTCAAATGTGAGACGTTGGTGTTAATGATTTTACCCAGCACCTCTGTGGCCCGTGGTTCTATATAATGTCTAATAAACTGTTATCGTCTTACCATCACTTCAAACCTCCGAGTGTCTCCTGATTCTTAGGCATCACAGTCTTCACACCTGAACTCCCCCAGATCAGATTCATGTGCAGCCAGTTTATGATGAAATATTAATTTGATGCACATTTAGCATAGATTGTTTTTATTTTTAGACATATATCCTATACCTTATGTGTAAAACATTCTTATTTTCCTTGTTGGTATTATTTTGATTTTCATTTCTGATTAAAGGGTCAGTGACAGACTCTTCTTAAAGTGTTGATCCTTAGCCACAAGTGAAACCAGGTTAAAAACTGCAAATGTGTAAAAGCCACACCCGGCGTTAAAATCTGAGGAGCTTGCTTTCAAATTCTAAGTGCTCCTTTAAAGATGGAGTACATGCTGTATTTGGGTCTTTTTGTGGAGTCTTTCATCAACACTGATGCCGTACTGTAACCTAATCAGTGTCACTGTGTGGGACTGTTTCTGTCGGCTCTGATTGTTCTAAAGGAACTGATTGAATCGGTTTTAATTTCCCTGAACCTTTCATCATGTGTTCACTCTCTGAGCCTCCGGTGATTGACAGGTCACTGTTTGCTAATGCCTCTGTCTATTGTTATGGTCTTACCACTGATGTTAGTTGGGGGGACAGATAATGATGATTAATGAGGGGACAGTTCAAAGACAGACAGGACACGATCACGTCTGTCAGGAGACACGTGTCAATAAACAGACCTCAGATCAGTGTAGTTTTTATACAGATCACTTCACTCTAGTTGTTGATTATTATTAGCAGTAGAATTACTATTTTTATGCTAATATTATAATTAATGTAGTACTAGTACCAGTGGTAGTAGTAGTATTACATTTCCAATGCTATTTTTATGCTAATATTATAATTAATTGTCACGTTTATTGTATGATGTTTTGATGGGTCTTTTTTTCAGAATCCTAAAGACTCAGAATCAGTGGAAGTTTATTTATAATTATAATTTATAATTTCTCCTCATCTGCCTCAACGACATTTTACAGTGTCTATGTTTTTTAATGTTTATTAAAACATGTACAAGAGTTATTGTTTACATATAAATAATAAAAAAACAAGTTAAGTCTGGTGCTGGAATCCAAACCAAACCAGAATCCTTCTATGACCCAGACACAGACACCTCTGTTGTATTTAGATTATTGATAAAGACACTCACTGTTTTTACCAGAAGTAACATCCACTGGTTTCCTGATGAATCAAACCGACACCATCATGAACACATACATAACCAACTTCAATGATTTTCCTTTGTCCCTAACCGTCACACAGTCCTGATTCCTCGAACACCCATGGTGTTTGATTTACATAAGGAGGATACAATACGACGTTTCTTCTGTCGTTTGGCCGGGGGGGGTTTGGCCGGTGCGTTTTTTTTATATATATAATGCTATACTGTATATTTAAAGAGGAAACTTTAGCCTGTCTGAAATCTGTTAAAATGGTTTAAATACTGAATAATACTTTACATCACTGGGAATTCTGCTTTTTTTTCTATCTGTGTAACCCGGGGCTTATGGGAAATGGTCCCACTTCACCTTTATTGTGTTGATCATTCGGCTAAGCACCATGCTTTGTGTAATCTAATAACACAAAGTGACTACACCACACACACATCCTTCCCATCATTCCCTGTACAGACCACCTTTATTACACCCGCCCACACACACACACACAGACACACACAGACACACGGAGGCTGAGGATGAGTGTGTTTACTGTTGTGCCTTATCAGCCTGGCTTTTCCTTTGATTAATGTCTGTCTGCGTGTGTGTGTGTCAGTTGTGACTGGACCAAATTGATGTGATTGTGTTAAATACATAAAAAAAACATTGATGACTGATATATTAATTAACTGATCACTAAAATCTTTGGCTTGCTTGCTGACAGTAAAACAACATGTCTCTGACCTCTTTAAGTGAACTTTTATAAGGAGTGAAATATTCCACAGGTCACTGCAGTCGATCGAGTTAGTGTGGTTAATAAAATAGTGAAGGTTGGAGTGTTGGAGTTAAACCATTATAAATGTATTATTTATGTGTTACCACAGCCACAATGAATTGTATGTAGTGGTAAAATATATTTAAAAAATGGCTCCGTTAGTTTTAATGGTTACAGAGCCCTCTATTTGACAGTCTGTGTCAAACAGATGATTAAAATGTGTTTTTCGGCACCTGTCAGAAAAACAGAGTGAAACTAATGGAAAAACAGATTTTTCCCATCTTTTCGCAGAAAAATTCCCAGCTTGATGTTTGCGTTTCCTCCTCTTTTTTTCTGACTGTATCATCCCTCTGCCCTCTCCCCCCTCCTTTACTGCCTTCCTCACTGTGATTGGCTGAGAGGCATGATGACACATCAGCGACAAGAGGCTGTGGGTCTATAAAACCTCAGCTCTGGTTGCGTTCAGGCACAGACAAGTCTCACTCTTCACTGAGCATCACTGAAAGGATATTTATCCGCAATTCCACCGACAAACCGTTGCTACTGTTTCACAGCTGCTATGTGCAAAGGATTAGCATCGCTGCCTTCCTGCTGCCTGGAGAGGTACATGAAGCTTCTTTACATTTGCAAGGGGGAATATAAGGATATCACATCATCACAGCTTTTATTTTATTTTTTAACAAATCTCAAAAAAGAAAAAAAATCAAAGAAGGATTGTATTATTACATTGGAGCTATTTTTTTTCAAGTAGGAACCTTATGCTGTGCATCATTAATTCTAAAATACAGTGCTTGGGTGTTGTGCATTCAAGGTCTCAGTGGGAAGAAAAAAAAACTGTTTGTTTAACTTGTTTGTTTTTCCTCTGACAGGGCCAAGGAGCTGAAAGCAAGGCTGGCAAGTGTTTTGGGAAAACCCAATTGGAACCTGCACTGCTGCAAGATAGGGAAAAATAAGTGAGTGTCATGCAGACGTACGCTGTGCTCTAACAGTTACTGCTTATTGGTGCAGGATTGAATGTAATGCCATAAAACTAACCAAACTTAATCTTCTCTTAAGGCCAACACTGGAGGAATGCCTGCGATGGAAGGAGTCCTTCGAAAAACTTCTGTCCAGCAAATGTAAGCGTTAGAGATCAAACGTCCGTCGTAGACGACGCACAAACACACAGTATGGTAGGACTGTGTGTACTGCAAGTAATAAAAGTGGTCCCTCTTCTTGCAGATGGACTGTGTGCCTTCACGGCTTTCCTCGTGTCTGAATTCAGCGAGGAGAACATTGCGTTCTACTTTGCCTGCCAGGACTACAGGAACATCAAGTCTCCTGCAAAACTACCTGCCCAAGCCCAGAAAATCTACGACGAGTTTATCGGCAGTGACGCTCCCAGAGAGGTAAGACGACACTGGAAAAAAGAACAAATATTTTCAAGTCTTATTGCAAATTAGAGAATTTGGACTCATGGCGATTTTCTGCATTTCTGTTATAGATAAACATCGACCACGAAACCCGTGACATCACCAGAGCCAACATGGTGACCCCCTCCACCTCCTGTTTCGACATCGCCCAGCACAGGATCTACATGCTGATGGCCAAAGACTGCTACCCTCGCTTCCTCCGCTCTGCGGCCTACAGGGATTTACTCTGCCAGGCCAAACCCAGAAACAAGGCGGAGAAGCAGGAGAAGACCAAAGTGTGAGAGTGCAGTCTGTTCATGAGCCGCTGAAGAATTCTTAGTTGTCGCCTTATGTTGTTGAGGAGGCAGGCTAGACGTGGGCGTGTTGGTTGATGCATCGCACGGCTGATTCAGATGCAGATACTGATGAAGACGCGAAACGTCTGGAGAGCAGAGGTGGATTTCAGAGGAAGCCAGTTCTCTTTAGAGATCAGGGAGGAACCAATGAGAGACGAAAGTGGAGCCGACCTGAGAGGGTTGATGAGTTGGAGGTGGACTGAAGATGATGAAAGAAAGTTTACTGAAAGCAAAGTCAAGTGACAGTGTAAATGTCTGAGTGACATGAAAACTGCACAAGTGGAGGAAGCACTGCTTTGGTGCCTGTTTGCAAACGTTTGCCCTTGTACCGTGCATGTACTTTTGTCAATCACTGTTTGGATCTTCACTCTGTGGATCTTTATTTATTTACCTGTCTATTTTGTTGCCTTTGTATGTAACACAAAAGAAAAAGCAAATGTGCAATGTTATTTATAATATGATATTTATATGATTGTTGACTTTTCTACATATCATCAACAAAAGTAAATTATTTGACAAAATAAAATATTCAAAAATAAGCTGAAGATTGTATGTCGTTATTCATATGAAATTCCACTGGCATTCGCTCAGTGGGTCAATGTAGGTCTTCTATCAAAAAGGTCAGAGATTATTTTCCATGGTGAAAACTATTGAACAGAATACTTCGTATCACCTCAAGGTTCAAGACTGGATTAAAACACATTTTACATTTATCTTGTTGTGTGATTTTACTTCAATGTAATGTTCATTTCACTATAACCTCCTTGGGATGTACCAATACAAACACCACCATCAGGCCAAATCCTTCATTCAGTAATGGTCAACCAGTGTTAGGTGTTTACCTAAAGAAGACAGTGTTTCCTAAAGAAACCAACTATTAGTGTTAAAGCTCCGCTCACTTTCTGTTCATCTGGTGTTAAAGATGCAGAAGGATTCATTTTATTTATCCTCATTTTAAACTATTCTTTCCTTAGTACTATATTGTCCAATATGACGGTCAGTACTTTTGTATAATATGGAAATATTACTTTCTCTTTTTTTCATTGAAATAGGAAAAGTAAAACTGAGATTATTATTTTCTTTCGTGTTTACTGCATATTTTTTTAAACCAATATATTGAAATACTATTGACAGTACTTGGTATCAGTGAGTACACAAATGAATATTCATACTTGTGTCTGTTTACAAAAATGCTAACATCTCTAACTCTAAATATAACAGTGTACTCCTGGATATACAAACCCAGCTTGTTGGCTTGTATATTCACACAACCTGACACAAGTACAACAATCATGTATTTGTCTTGTATTGTGAGAGTCTTGCTGTGGATGGTGTTGTGGATAAATGTTATTCACCAAGGAAACTACGTTGTAAAGAACTCGGACGACAACAGCGGCGGCCTGCTCTGAGCCTGTGTCTCACATGATGTGAATGGGATGAGAAAGAGCTTTCTAGCAAACAGGAAGCAGAAGGAGATGATGTGACAGCATTAACGTAATAGGCAGGACAGTAAAACTTCATTATTGCCCTGGCAGCTGTTTGCACTGGCCATCAACTGCAGGTAATATATGACAGTGCAGCAGCCAACAGGCCCAGGTCTGACCACTGCTGTCTAAAACACATAACAGTGGGATAATAATAAATCCTCCAATGCCTGTCGTTACATAATATTGATTAAATCCTTGCTCATTAAAATGTTAAACATTGTGCCTCAATCTGCTTTGATAGAGCACAAATCTGGCCCGACGTCTGCTTTGTGTATTCAGATGTGATCAGTGAAGAGTGCGGCCGGTGTCAGGTGTCCCTGCCTTAGACCTGATGTATATGAACATGTCATAAAGCTGCTGCCCGCTCCATAGTAACCCCCTCTGACATTTTCAGCCAGATCTGAGGCATAGCCATGACCATCTGTAAAGCTGTGACTTTAAAGTGACTTCAACTAGGTTGTGAACATGTGACCGAAAATCCATTTTCGAACAATTCCTGAAAAAGCTGACATGTCTGATACATTCAGTCTTTTTTCTCCCCAACTTTTATTTGTGTCCTTTCACAAATATAAGGGATTTCTCTATTGTGTTGAAGTAGATTTGCGCGCAGTACCACTGCCCGCCAGTAGGGACTCCGGTTCCTATACACCTTTCACCATGCAAGCAAGTGTTCCAAATCGGACAACAAGTGACACCTGCGGGCCACATTTGGTCCCCGGGCCTTGCCTTTGACACATGATATAGAGACAAACAACTAATTACACCGACACATTGTCGCTAAAGAAGGGAAAATAGTCACGATTACTTCCTACAGGGAGTGAGAAAGGGGGCGGGGCTTATAGTTTGCAATCATAACATGGTACTGGAAACAATCCAGTAATAATTAGATCTGAATTCACACACTCTTATAAAGCCCCTCCCACCTGTATGAAGATAAATGAGGGTGGGGTTTAGTGAGCGTTTGTTAGAGACCAGTATCAACACTGCTGATGTCATTTATTACAGTGGTATAAGTTAACCTGACAGATTTACTGGGCCTCGGTAAACTACCATCAGTCTTTACAACTTTGACTTTTCTGCACATGCGTAACGTGTCAAATAACCACATTATGGCGCATAGCTAATCTAATGAGTCCCATAGATAAATATACAAGAAATGGACGAGCCGTCTGCGTCAGCAGGTGCTGAGCTGTGCACTGATTGGCTGTGAAAAAACACATCTAAGAGATAACGCAGAAAACACAAGTGTCATGTGTATCCGTTTCCTGTTGTACTAATCAAATTATTTAGTCACGTGACGGCGGCGTCAAATCATCAGAGGTTATATTTATCTATATCTTCAAAATGATTGAAAATCAATCATTATTTGGATTATTTAATACTCGTAGTGTATATAGAATTTAGGATTTCAAAATAATTATAAAATTACAAAAAAACTGTATACCTAGTACCACCAGCAAATCAAGACGTCAATTTCTCACTGTAATTGTCATCAACATTTCCAAACAAGAATATGCTCTGTCTCTCTCTCTGTCTCTCTCTCTGTTTTTCTTCCAGACGTGATTTTTGCACGTGTTTTCCCAGATATTTAATTACATTTCCAAACATCAGGGAGCATCAGCCGCTGTCATTGTCATGAAAACTCCCAGATCCTGCTCGAGTGTCCGCATCTACCTTCAGAAGAAAGACAAAGTTGTCTCATGGTGTAAAAAGTTCAATTCTAGCCGTGGCCTCCTCCACTATAAAAGTCTGAGGCCCCTTTTCCCAGAATATTAAGTTTGTCATGCAGCCTGAAGGGGTCACATTTCCTCAGAAGATAACCATAATATTTAATTTAAAATGTTACGCTTGTTTATCCAGCACTTGTATTCTCTGAGAGTGACAACAACATTTTTTCCAGGAAACACAAAATCACAAAAACCGCTAAAAATCCTCCTCGTTCAAACAACAACTCTACTGAGGGGTGAAAGTAGGGCACAAATGCCCTTTGGGGTTTAAAGGCAGCAAACGTCTGATTAATAAACCACTTAACGGTTGAACGCTTGCTCCATTAGTTGTGAGGACAGATTGTGTGTTTGTCCACATGCTGCAGGAACAATTACACAGTTGGAATATTTTTAGTTTTGAGCCTGAACAGGATTCCGTTCCTACATGAATTTCTTGAATAAATTCCACTGGTCCAGTCTGACGGATACCTGGTGTTTACGAACGGTGTGCCTGGACCCATGTCGTACTGTACATAAGATGGACCTGTATGTAAAACATAAGCGAGGTAACACTGGCCTCTGGTGGTCAAATATCCAAAGAGCAATTTATTTTTATTTTTTAAATGAATTAATAAATGTTATTATTATTTATTTATTTATTTATTTATGCATTGTGCTATCAATATAAATTATTTGCTAAATAAAATTGTGACCCTCCACTGTGGAACTGATGCCGCCAGGGGGCAGTAATGTTACTCAAATAACGGAAAATGCGTCACAACGACGTTGTTCGTGTGCAGCAGTGACTGCGTCAACTTTTGACGAGTGATTTGAAGACTCCATTAGACTTCACTTCAGTTCGTGTCGCTGTCAGTTTACACTGCGTTATATTTCGGTTTTCACTAGGGGGCAGTATACTGTAAATAATAAATCCAGTCCTCCTTAGTCTCATTTTTAGTTCAGACCACGTCACAACACATACATAAATAGAGGCAACCTTTAGTCACTTGGGCAACACAAATGTTTGTGGAAAACCATACTAAGTGGTTAGTGCTATTGCCTAACAAGAAGAAGATGACCCGTTTGATTCCCGTTGTTCATTGATTGCCATTAACATTAACTCCCGAGTTATCAAAGCAACTTAAATTAATTAATTTTAATTACTAAATAATTCTGTTTGGAAACTTGAATTATTCTGAATAAACCATATTCATCTCCACTGTCTTTGTCATGGCAGTTACAGGTCAAGATGACCCAAGGATGGGACATCAACTTTGGCTGCTGGTCATTAAGAGCAGAGCTGTCCTGGAGTGAGATGACCCAGTGTGCACATTCCTCCGTATCTCCCCCCGGGCCGTAATTGAACCCCCCCCCCCTCCCCACACACACACACACACAGAGAGAGAGAGAGAAATATATGCTCTGGCGTTCTTTATAGTTGCAGTGATAGAGAGAGCCAGACATGAAGGAGCGGGATGGGAACGATGAACATTAGATGAGTGGGTGCGAGTTGGGGGAGTCTGGAGGGGGAGTGAGATTCACTCCAAGCGTGGGAAATCTCCTGGTGTGGGTCCCTGGTGGAAAAGGAAAACTGTGCAGTTCAGTTCGTCAGGGTTCACATACTCTGTCTCCTCAGGACCGCAGTCAGGACAGAAAAGTCAGAACCTGGATTAAGTCATAAATAGAGAGGTCACAAAAATCTGCAGGAGAAAGTAAAATATGACTTGTTTTTGAATAAAGTACAGATGGAAATGATACAATGTTTTTTTTATTTATTAGATATTTGGTACTGGTGATAATTCAAAGTTGACATAGCCCAGAGCGGGGGTCTTCAGTGTGTGAATCTTAGGTAAAAACTAGTGACAACAATGTACCTTTTATTATCACTAACCTAGTTACTTTTCTAAACAAAAAAAAAGCAATAATAAAATAAAGAACCTGCAAAAAAATACAAGTTATAAGTATGTGAAAAAGGAAGAAAAACTGATTTGTGCGCCATGATGCTTCTGGCTAAAAATCATAGCCCCCTGCAGGGCAGGAAAGGGAGCTGCATGCTGACTGTTTAGTGTCCAGAAATATACAGAAATGTTAATCTATATTTTGATAAAATCTAGGAATTATTTCAAATATATAGTTATTACTGGGATTACAATAGATAACATTGTTTTTTTAACTAGTGTAACTTATTTCCAATATTGGTTTACAGATGGAAGATTTTTGTTTTGTTTTTTTTCAAAATGTTTTATACTTTGTGAAACAAATTAAACAAAGCAGTTTTCATACAGTCATCGCTTCTTGTGGGAATAACCTCTTGAGTTCAGCCATGTGGGCCAAAATGTTAATTAAATAAAGGATTCATCATCTGCTGGTTCCAGTAAATGCAACATTGCATAACGCGTAAGAGGTCAACATTCTGGAAAAATCATCACAACATCAACTACATTGTCTAGGATGAGTAACTCCGAGAGGAATGCTGGG